ACCTGGGGAAGGAGAGGCAGTGCCCTGGAGAACAGCTCAACAGGGTGAACCCTGAGGGTCTTAAGGGTCACTAATTAGGGCTGGAGGAGGAGGGGAGGAAGAAAAGAGAGAAGGGAGAAAAGAAAGGGAAATCAAGAAATAGGAAAAGAATGAATAAGGCTCGTGTTTATCAAGCACTTCAAGAGCAAGCCCTGTCCAGAAGGCTTTACTTATATCAACTCCTTTGATCTTTGGGGCAAGCCTCTGAAGAGAAAAATATTATCGTTCTCTTCCCTTTTCAGGTGAGGAGACTTAGTCAGCGAGTGTGGGATTCGAACCCAGGAAGTCGGGTTCCTGGCCTGACTGTGGAGAGGGAAGAGCTCCCAGACTCACAGCCTGCAGGAAGTACTCCCGTGAGTCAGGGTGCAGAGGAGAGCACGGACCTACCTGAGCAGAGCCGGGTTCATCTCCTGTTCCTCGGCTTACACGTGGTCTAGGAGCTGCTCCCTTCCCCACCCGGGTTTCCTCCTGTAGTTCACAGGGCAGTAGTGAGGAGGGTGGGGACTCAGACATCCAGCACAGAGCCAGGAGACAGAGCGTGGCGGGTACACTGTAGTTCTTGGTCTCATGTAATCCTTGCAACACCCCTATAAGCATGATCCCCATTTCCCAGATCTGAAAACTGAGATTTCAAGAGTCTTCTAACTTGCCAGGGTCTAACACCTCATCGGGGTGGGAATTAGAAGAACAGGGTAGAGACAAAAGAGAGAGGAGGAAGAAGGGAGGAGCGGCAGGCTCCAGGTGGAACAAAAAGAAAAGGAAGGAGAAAGAGAGCTGGATGTGGTACACGGTACACAGCACCCTAAAGACATCCGGACGGATGTGGTGGGGCACACCTGTAACCCCGCACCCAGGAGGCTGAGGCAGGAGGATCGCCATGAGTTTGAGGCCAGCTTGGGCAACATAATGAGTTCAGGGCCAGGCTGCACTACAGAGTGAGACCCTGTCTCAAAAGAATATAATAATAAAAATTAAAATAAAGACATCCAGGTAGGCCTTGGGGTTTTCAGGATTAATCCTACAAGATACACTCTCCCCCCTGAGCGCTCCTTAAATTCGAACTCATTCCCTTTGTAACACAGGAGGGAGTTTGGACTCCCACCAAACCTCTTAAGGAATTATTTATCCCTTAAGCTCGACGTCTCAGCACACAAATGAGCCACAAGTACAGCTAAGGAAAGTTGCTCATCCTATTCCACTTAGCCTCTCCTTTCTACCTTAAAGCCACAGATCAATGTCATGTAAACTTACTTACCCAACATACACTAATACATAGCATTAAACATAACGTTATACCACCATCCAGCACAACCAAAGCTTTTCTGAGAAAATTTTATTTACAATTTAGTCCGCCATTTGAATGCAACAAGGGCAAAGTCTTTGTAATCATAAATGCAACCATGCAGTGTATACATGACAGTGTTTATGCACTTACCTGTATGCATTAGTTTCTTTTGCTGCTGCAACAACTTCGGACACAGTATCTTACCATTCTGGAGGTTAAAAATTCAAAATGGGTCTTAAGGAATAAATACAGGTGTCAGCTCAGCCTTGTTCCTTCTGGAGGCCCCTACATGGGACAAAAAGAGGCACTGTAAGGAGGAAAAAGAAAGGCCTTGGATGGTGAATGACACTCTCTACGGTGAGTTCTTTGCCTTTTCCAGCTGCTTTAGGGCACCTGCCTTCTTTGGCCAATGGCTCCTTCTGCCATCTTTAAATCTAGTAATGGATCCCCTCCCCCTCTCCTCTCCCCCTTTCTCTCTCTCTCCCCCCATAACCCCCACTTCTGTCTTCATTTCTATCACCTCAGTCTCCATATCTTCTCTAACTCTCCTCCCTCCTCTTTCAAGAGCTCTCACAGTTACATTGGATCCCCCTGGATTACCCAAAATAATCTCCCCATCTTGAGATCTGTAGTGATGCCTTCAAAGTCCTTGGCCACATAAGGTAACCCCAGCACTCAGGAGTCTGAGGCACGAGGATCACAGCAAGCTTAAGGCCAGCCTGGGCTATATTGTGAGTTCAACTCCAGCCTGAACTACATAACTCTATCTTGAAACGAAAATAATGATGTATAGAAACTTGAGGCCCAATAGATTTAGCAATAAATAGCGCCTCATCACCAGCACCTCCCACCAGATATACGAGCCCTGCCCAGCAGGTCACTGAAGGTTACCCTTGCTCTAGGCTTCAAAAAGCTGTCCCAAACTGTGCCTGATTTGGGCCTTGACCTCTTCACCATTAGACGTTATTGTCAGTCCTTCTAGATGTGGATGTGAACATTTAATGTGTACTGTAGTAAAAGATGTTGGTTTTGAGCCCTTTTTACATTCCCCAAAACCCATTTTTTACTGTCCACTTCCAAAGAGCTATCAGGGATCCCGTGGCGTGCTCAGCTGGCCATATTTGCATTCATGGATGGCTACCTTTATCAAGGGCAGCCTTCATCAAGGACTTTAAGCCTCCGAAGTCAAACCTTCGGATGTTTGAAGGGTGGAAGTGAAGTTCATGCACAGTGTGAAGGATCTCTGTAAAAGTTGGGGACTGATGAACCCTCTGGGTCCCGTGGTAAAAGCTCAGGTCAAAGAGCCCCAGCAGTGAGGGCCCAGGCGCAGGGCAGGAGGGAGGCACCACAGGCCGCGTGTCAGAGGAGCCCGGTGTGGCTGAGCTCAGTGTGTTCTGCATTGGAACTGTCAGGCTCCAAGGTGCTTCCACCCCCATCCGAACCGAAGTCTTCTTCGCCTCCTCGTCCGCGTTCACCTCCGTCACCCCTGCTTCTCAGGCAGTTTTCAGCACAAGCCTGAGAACGTGGAAACCATGGCCGTCCTGCTGCAGTAGAGCTTCTCATGCCAAACTAGGCTTAGTTTAATGAAAACACTACTACTGTCCACGTGCCTGGATTAAAACCAACACAGGATTTAAATCCAAAAGACAGTGTTATTTCTTTACCCCACATAGTAAAATAAAAATGATGCTAAACCACAACTTAAGAGAGTAAGTCTAATTTAGGTAGAAAAATTCTGATTTTTCAGTTGGTGACCACTTTCTTAAAATTAACAATATCAGGGCCAGGGATTTAGCTCAGCGGTTCCTCTGCCTGCCTTGCAAGCCCAAGGACCAGAGTTGGATCCCTGGTACCAAAAAAATAAAATAAAATAAAATTAACAATATCATATGCTTTAAAAATTATTTTTGCTGGGGGCACACGCCTGTGTGCTGGGAGGCTGAGGCCAGAGGATACCAAGTTCAAGCCTTGCCTGGGCAACTTAGTGAGTCCCAGTCTCAAAATTAAAAAAAAATTTTTTTAATTAAAAAAATTTTAAAGGCTGGGAATATATTCAGTGCAAAGACCCCAAGCTCGGTCTCCAGTACCCTCACCCCCATTATCTTTCTTTTGGTGCCTGTTTTGCTAGTATTTAGCACATATGCTCTTTCTACCAGTGTTTGCTGGATGAAAATTAGAAAGAACTCTTCATTTTGAATTCATTACAAGGTTGGGGTTGAAAAGTCCAAAATGATGGGCAAGCAGGCCCCTTGCTGTGGCCAGGTTCTGGCTGAGTTCTCGCAGTTACCAGCTAGATAACTTTGGTAAGAGGTCTTAACATCTCCATCTATCTGTAAAGCAGAAATAGTGGAATATGCCTAATGGCTTGTAAGGGCTGAATGGCGATGTGCCTTGTATGTAACAAGCACTCGGTGTACTTCCCTATTAATGGCATCTTTTCCCGTTCCTGCCGTTCCTCACAAATACCTACATTGCGCTAGGCCAGGGCGACAGACTGAGCAAAGATGGAAAAAGCCCTGAACTCACAGTTCGCAATCTAGAAGTTGGTTTCTATACAAGCAAGCACAACAGTGTCACGAATTACTAATTTCAAAGAGAAGAGCTCTTCCTGTGGAGCTGGGGTAAAAATGAATGCCAATTCCAAAGATTCATAAATACCTATGAAATTTCTTTAAAAACAATGTTACTTGGTTTCCTTAGCGTATTTTTCTGATTCAATAGCAATACCTCTCATCCAAATGTGCAATGCATAGTATACAGGATGATTCTGGGAAGGTTGGGAGGTACTTTTTGAAAAATTTTATTGTCCCAAAAGATAATTTTTTTTGACACATCCAAAAAAAAAAGCTGGCCGACAGCGATCCTAACCCCCTTGGCTGTGGTCACACATCCTGAGCGGAGAAATGATGGTTATGGTTGTGGCATCAGCTGAAATGCAGGGTATTTGAGGAGCTCATTCAGGCTCGTGGTACCGAGTAAGCGCAACACTAGCTTGTCTCCCCTCCGTCTTCCACCCACCCCAGATTTATCCTGTGCAGTACTCTGTCCACTGTCTCGTGCGTCTACCCAAAATTATTCTGTAATAAACCAAATTCAAACTGCTCGACATGGTGCATTTTTCTTACCACCTTTTACTCCAATCCTTTTGTCTCAACCCTACTCCAGCTCAACCTGCTTCTCCAAAGGGGTGTTCACCCTCCCCACTTGGTTAAAACCTACTGCACTCTGGAGTTTCTCTGATCACCCACTGCCATTTGTCCACTGATTTTTCAATTCCTTCACCCAGCCAGTTCAAGTTATTTTATTTTTATTATTATTATTTTTTTTGGTACCGGGGATCGAACTCAGGTTCTTGTGCTTACGCAGCAGGCGGCGAAACCACTGAGCTAAATCCCCGGCTTCAAGTTCTTTAAATAAATTATAACGCTAAATTTGTAATAGTCCTGAGGTTCACATAATCATATTAATCTAACTTTTAGGCTAATAGTTTCATATATGTAGGCACAAAATACCCAATAATCCAAGTCTTCCTCCACACCTCTGTTCTGTAACTTATTCTGCACACCGGCAACACATTGTGTTTAAACTATAATTTCCCTTCCAATACCTGAAACCCACTTTTATTTTGTATAATCCACCCTAGCAGAGGAGGGGAGGCCATATGCACAAAACAAAGTGGATATTAAAATTAGTTTATTTTTCTACTTAACTTTTAATAAATGAGAAGAAACACAGTAGTCCGTCTCATATAGAACATTTATAATACATAACAATCCATAAAGCCTCGTGGTGAGGTAGGAACAGCTTTGGAAAATAACATAGTCATAAAACATACAAAAAGGTAAAATGTTGCAGCACTAAGACATTTCATCTGCATGTGCATTTAATGAGATGACAACTGCATTTAACTGTGCCACATCTGGCCCAAAAGGCAGGCAGCAGCAGACACAAGAACAATACATCATGGAAGTTTCATAAAGAATCATAGAAGACACTGATACATTTCATTGTGCTGTTTCAAGGCAGAACCGTAACATGGCATTTTGTGTCTTTTTATATATAACTACATATTAATTGTATGTTACATTCCCTTCAGCATCTTTTGGCCAAAGTCACTGAACCATAAAATTTTTGGTTTAAAAGTTTAAACTGAGTAACATACAAAAGGCTTTTGTGCCAGTGAAAATGACTGCTAAGTATCCCAAGCTTGTTAGTAAAATAAAATAGCGTTGCCACATTATCGGTAGAGCTACAACAAAATAGTGCTTTACAATTCCCATTTCAGAAGACGGTAAAACACTGTATGACAGTTTCAACTTAACAAACAACAAAAAAACCCTTCCACCTTCCCAAGAGTTTTAACACTGTTGCATCAACTTAACTGAAAAGTATTAAAATAAATATTTTTATATTGTAGAATTACTCTGAATACCTGTGCATGTGTGAACATCTTAAGACAGCAGGTTAATGACATATTCATCATTCAAATATTTGCTTAAAAAGTAAAAATCTTCAACTCAATACATGTTAGCCAACTAAATACTTCACATTAGGTTCCATAGGTCTTTTCCCTCAAAACCTTCCAAAATTCAAAATTAACTGAGGATATCAACAAGACACAAACATCTTAACAGTCTTCCATGTACTGTGATTTTTTTCAAGGTGCATTAGGAAATTTTTCCTATACAAATGACATACTTAGGATAACATTTTAGTTTCAGCAAGATGAGGATTTTATCAGATTCTAGTCTATACTTTTGCTATGTAATAATCTCCAGGAAGAAAAAAAGGAACAATCACACAAGTGAAAAGTTGACAATGGAGAATTAAGTTTCTCATCAGTAAGGCTGCATTTCGCTGGAGAACATTTCTGGTTGTTTTCAATTCAGGCACACACAGCACCTCCTTCTCACAAAACTCAGACAGACAAATTTCTAAACACACATTCTACACTGACCTTGCTCAGAGGGGCTGGCAGGAGGCATGCAGTGCATGGAATGGCACACTTAAATAACGGGTTTAAGTTTCCTAATAATTCAGGGTACTTCCCGCATTTTCTTTCAGAAATAAGCTATTTTGGAAAAGACACTTAAATCCTACATTTAAATACAAAAGCATGTCTTTCTTTCTTAAGGATAATGCTAATATAGCTAAAAATGGGTTAGAAAGTGCATTGTAAAGAAATAAATAATTCTCTGCTAAAACTCAAAAGATGTCAGTGCACACTAATTTTGCTATGACGAAGTCTTTTGAAAAAAAGAAAATCCTACAGTACCACTGTTACAGATAAGCTACTTAGAAAGTATCAAAAGTGAAATAACTAAAACGTATAACTAAAGTCTGTAACATACAAAGCACTTCTGAAAAATAAGCCCTAGTCCTTGTCCCATCCTTTCCATTCTCGAACACCCTCACCCTGCAACGTCTTTATACCTAGGTGTCACACCACCTGCCAGCTCCCAGAGCATTTGTGAGAAAACCCGCTGAATGTATCTTACCAGTTATCCTAGTGTATCCTTGCCAAAATGTCTATATAACAAACTGTTCTAAGATTCTACTAAAGTGTTCTGTGAAGTGGTAAGCCAGGAATATACATGATGCAATATAATTTGCAGCTTTTCTCTCCTTCACCAGGTACATTCCTCAATTTCATGTTTAAAAAAAACAAAAACCCAACCTTTTTGCAAAATTCAAAGTAACTACCAGTTAAAGAGCTGAATTACATAATGTGAGTATTAAAAGATTAAGATGTATTGCAAATTGGCAGGTAATGGTTTTGGCCCATTATAATAAATGTGAATTTACAAACTATGTTCTTAAAATTACCTTATTCTCATTGGAAAAAAAAAATCTGCTGTTCTTAAATAGGCCCATTGCCAGCAACAGGCTTAGATTAGGGTAAAACACACCATCTCTACCACAAAAGATTATCCCTTTTAAAAGGGACTGTCATATACCAATACTTTTATCTTAAGACCTATTAAACAATGAATTATTTCAAATCTCAAAAAGGTGGCCATCCCAAAAGTAGTCAGCTATAAAAGTTACTAAAGTAGTCAGAATACCTTGTTTCTAGAAAAATAGAACTATGTATCACTGATATTAGTGATCATTCTTTTGAGGACAAAATCTACATTTTCTTCACAAAGCATAACTCTTTTCTATCAAGAAAAATATAACTTAACACCCTTAAATATTTGTGTTGGATCTGAAATCTACAGCAATAATGAAATAGCCAAGAACAATTTTGGGGGTGGATATTGTGACATCTTATAAGATTAGCCACTGGAGGTACGAAGCAATGTCAAGACATGATGACTTAACAGAATCTTAATCTTTTCATATCATTTTCTAAGAATTTAATATGCAAACTGATTATCCATCTGATTTTCTTCTCAAGTCAGTGGCTCTTGGCAATGCACAAGCATTGCTGGTTGTGCTTAAAGCTGCTTGAATCATTACTACAAAAACTAACTTGGAAAGCTTTTTTAACAATGCAATTTGAAAGGTTAATAGCTTGCAATATATTTTGTGAGTACACTTTCAGCTCAATGTTTCTAAGACCAATCTTTGAAAGAAAGTAATGCTGGTGAGTATGTGCACGTTTCAGACTAACTTTGGTAAAACAAGATGAACTTAAATTCTCAGAATTTAGACATGCAGTCTGAATATTAATATACACTAATCTCAATATTTAGCTGGTAAACTTTCTTTCTTGCTGTTATCCCTTAGATGTCCTACTATGTGTAAACTACAATTCAGTTTAATTATCTCACTGTTTATTACTCAGCAATACAGAAAACAGAACAGTAACTGATCTTATTTCCTGCTAATACTCATGAGTCACTCTTAAAATATGGTACCATTATGCTATATAACATCAAAGGGCAAGTAAAAATTCCCTAAAATGTCAAAGGAAACAAATTTGTTGATTTTTAAAGGTCCAGCAATTATAATTCTAACAAAATACAACAATGGGGGAAAGAAAAGCAGAGAAATTCCAGTAACAATTTTATTTATCCCCCTAATTTTTGTCATGGGAAAACTGGAAATCAAATGTCATTGTTATAAGGTTTATACTTTCAACAAAAATGTAACATAGTGTTCAAACTGGCTTTCAAAAATTGTTACAGCATAGCTGTACTGTGCACTAATAATCACAAAGTTGTAATATAGAACTCTGTTATGCAGTCCCATTATGTTCTTACAAAAATAGAATTAAATGTGACCAGACAAGGACTTCAATTACACTGCTTGGCAAACTTAGAATTTCAATGGAGTCTTTTTCCTCTTGCAGTTTAAAGCAAAAGTCAAATACCACCTCTTTTTCAAGACTCACAAAGATGATTCAGGTTTGTTTGGCACTGTTTTAACCTCTACCACAACAGCAGGGGTGTTTTCACCTTTAGTCCTCTTGGGCTTCTTCTCTAGATTGTCGCTAAGTTCTAAACAAGAAATGCTAACTGAACGGACCTTTTCTGTATCCTTTCCAGAATCCGCTGGTGGTCGTGTCCCACAACACTGCTTCAAAGCACACTGAGTTCTGCAGGCAAGTTCACACGGGACCACGCTTGATTTAGAGCCTACGCTAGCAAATTCAGGCTGAATGGTGGTAGCGTGAATTCCGTGATTATGGAAAACGTCCTTAATGGTTTTAGCCACCTGCATGTAGGATGTTGGGTCTTCACATTTTATGTGAGCAGTGGCAATGATTCTGCTTCCAGCAAGTTGCCAAACATGCAATTCATGAACTTCCTCGACTCCTTCAACATCTCGAAGTTCTTTTATCAAATTTCTGATATCAATTTGTTTAGGAACAGTTTGTAGAAGAATAAGAGCAGATTCCTTAAGTAATGGGTAAGTTGTGTAAAAAAGTATACAAACCATGACAACACAAAGACTTGGGTCTAAATACAGCACCCAGCAGGGACCAGCCTCCGAAACTGGGGCATGCGTGTTGTTAATCTGTTCTAGAAAGGACTTGCAGGGGTCAGAGATACACGGGTTCACACAGAAATCCCCTCCGCCACAACCTTTCCAGTAAAGGTAAAAGAGAGTGGCATTTACTACGACAATCACGGACCCCATGGCGTCTCCCAGCACGTGCAGAAATACGCCTCGCATGTTCAGCTGCCCAGCCGAGTCTTCCTCCTCCTCTGAGTCCACATGGTCAGGCTCATGGATCAGATTCCCATTCACCTGTACTTCCACTGCATCCTCACTCCTTGGTTTTCCTGGATCTACAAAGAAAGAGAAACTGTTTATCAAAGCATCTCGAGAGTTTCTATCAACATTCTTGTCTAATTCCTCTAAGTGGTGGTGAAGGTGAAAAGCTGTTCCTAGAGCACACAAGTGTGCGGAGCACTTGAACACGAACCGACGCTCTGGGAGTGAGCCAGGCGAAGCAGTCATGCTTTGCTCTGACACCTCAGAGCCCGAGCCTCCTTCCCAGCTCTGCAGCCCCTAGAGTGTCCTTCCCCGGGGACAGGGTCCTGTGCACATCCTGCTGGGGATTTTTTTTTTTTTGCATGCTCAAGACTATTAGGAAAGCTGCAACTAAATGATCTCTACCCTAAAACCTTTCATGTCCAAAGCATTCGTCTTTTAAAGGAATTATAAACCAGAGTAGCTTAATTTTCTTTGGAATAACACCACACCACATGGAATGACAAGAAAACCAGTATTGAACCTTCTCAATGCATAACTTCAACTTCGGTAATATCCTGAACTTGGGAAGGAAGACTGGCTCTGCAGTATGACACAACTATGAAAGTAAACAGAAATGGAAAAAAGCAGAAAGAAACACATCAAATTGTTAATATCTTTGGACATAAGAGAGCACTGGTCAATTCTTTCTCATATTTTTCAACATTTTCCAAATTTCCTTCAAGAACACGTGTTTACAAGGAAAAGTTTCTGTGAACAATACAAGATAACGCCCGGCAAGGGGTGGACGTGATGGTGCATGCCTGTGATCCCAGCACTCTGGGAGACTGAGGCAGGAGCGCTGCCTAGAGTTCAAGGCCAGCCTGGGCTACATAGTGAGTTCTGGACCACAAATCGAGACCCTGTCTCAAGGTCCCACCCCTCAAAAAAAAGGTAATGCCGGGCATGGTAACACACGCCTGTAACCCCCACACCCCGGGAAGCTGAGGCAGGATGATCACAAGTTCCAGACCAGCCTGGACAACTTTGTGACGCTGTGACACTCTGTCTCAAGGTTAAAAAAAAAAAAAAGGTAAATAAAAATTAGCTGGGGATGTAGCCCAGTGGCAGAAGGCCCTGGCTTCAAACCTCAGTACCGCAAGATAACTCCATTTCAAACACTGATTTTAGTACCCCCCTGAAAGTCCTAAGTGAAGTAAATGTTGAACATGCCCAGACTGGTCCTCAGGCCTGTGATTTTCGGGATTAGGGGCCAATTAACTAAAACATACACCACTGTTCATACACGAAACCTTTAACCAGAATTTGTATGTTATGAGCGAATCATTACGAAACCCCTTCAATAGGTCTAACTACCACTTGGGGAGAGCGGGGCTTCCCACATCCAACAACTAACGACTTGGGGAAATCTGGGGGTTCTCTCTTTCTCAAAAGGGCCAAGGAACCGAATTTGGAAGCATTTTTGATCCTCTTCGCACCCCAACTGGACAGGTCCCTAGTGACAACCAAGTACGCGGTGGGATGACAGTTACCTGGGCACCCGGCCCCAGCTCCGCCCGTGGGAGGCGGCCGGGCAGCAGGGGGCGCGAGGGCAACATCGCCGGGCCGGCCCCGCCCGGGCCCCGCTCAGCACCGACCACCTGCGGCGGCCCCCGCCTACCTGCGGCGTCCAGCTTCAGCCCGTTGGAGTTGCTGCTGTTGGCCACCAGGGTGTTGGTCTCCTCCTGCTCCTGCTCGGGGCCCGGCTCGCCCGGGGCCGCGCTGGCTTGGCCGGGGCCGGGGCCGGGGCCGGGGCCGGGACCGGGACCGGGACCCGGGCCGAGGCGCGGGCCCCGGGCGCGGACCCCCTTGGCGTGGCCGTGGCCCCCGTGCGAGTGGCCGTGGGCGTCGCGGCCCAGGCCGCTGTGGTGGTGGAAGAGGCACAGCCCCAGCAGGTTCACCAGCAGCCCGGCCACGCCGACGCCGAGCACCACGAGCGGCTGCTGCATCTCGTGCGGCTCCACGAAGCGCTCGACGGCCTCGAGCAGGATGGCGAAGCACAGGCCGGTGAGGAAGATGGCGTTCACCAGGGCGCCCATCACCTCGGCGCGGATCCAGCCGAACGTGTTCTTCTGCGTGGCGTGGGTCCGCCGGGCGAAGCGCTCGGCCACCAGCGCCACGACGAGCGCCAGCACGTCCGACAGCATGTGGAACGAGTCGGAGAGCATGGCCAGCGACGCGGTCACGCGGCTCACCGCCACCTCCAGCACCATGAACATGAAGGTCAGCAGCAGCATGCACAGCAGCCGCCCGCGGTTGCGGCCCCAGCACCCCATGGCGGCGGCGGCGGCGCGGAGCGAGGGCGGCGAGCGCGGGCGAGGGCCGCCGAAGCCCGGCTCAGCCCCAGGGACCCCGCTCGCCGCGGCCGAGCACAGGCGCTACGCGGAGCGCGGGCGCTCCGGGAGCCGGGGCGGGCGAGGCGGCGGGGGGCTGCGCACCGAGGAGGCTCGGAGCATCTGAGGGGGCTCCTCCCCCTGCTGTCCTCCGCGGCGTCTGAATCGAGCACCCACGGCCGAGAGCTATAAAGGAGGCCGCCCGAGCAGCTGCACCCGGCCCGGCCTCGGGCGCCTTCTTCACCCCCCCCCCCCGGCCTTTGCAGACGGTTTACAAAAAAACTTTGCTTTGCACTCGGAACCCCAGTTTTCACACGGACCCGAGCGTCACAAGGCCCCTCCGTCCCGCCTCCTGGACCCGGCACGCTTTCCCATTGGCTGGGACCCCCCACGACAACCGTCGCATCCCGCCCATCCGTGCTCACGATTGGATGGCGGCTCTGAGGGGCGGGAGAAGGCGGGGCCTAAGCGCCAACCGCTGGAGGCGGGGCCTTCCTCTCCTGAGCCGGGCGTGGGCCGGGGGCCGCGGCCGGGTGCAGCGCGAGCGCTGGGGGAGGGTCTGGGGCGCGGGCCGCGTGCAGTGGGGGGAGGGGCGGCGGGCGGGGCCGCGCGTCGCGCCCGTCTGTCTGTCTGTTCCCGGGCGCTGCGGGTCCCCGCGGCCCCACCACCTGCGGGTCGGGCTGAGCGCAGACTTCGGTCCTCGGAGCTGGCCGGGACACGTGGGGGCGGGCGCTCTGCGCCCGCGCGACTCTGGCGACACGACGGGGACGGTCCCGCGCGGGGCCCTGGGGGTGCCTCTGTCACCGAGCTGGAGAGGCCGCCTCAGTGTCGCGCTTTACCCGGGCAGGATCGCCGGGCGCCCGGAGCTCTGAATGTCCCCTAAGGCGCTTGATCCTGGCGCCGCCTGCCTGGGCCCTGTGCGACTCTGAAGCTTGTGTCCTGGTTACCTGAGGACAACTTAGGGTGTAGACTTGGAGCCACCCTCGTCACTCTGGGCGAGTCCCCTCGTCCCCCGCGACCTGTGTCGCCAGCTACCCAGCCAGTAGAGTCGCAGGGCCCTCTGACTGCACACCTTTACTCTTTATTCACAGCCCACAGAAGGGAACCCCGCGTGGGCTGCTAGGAGGTGGGGAGGCCCGAAAGAATGCAGAAGAATGCGTCCGGGTAGAGTAAAATGCACACACTTTAAATTACTGCCAAGCCGGGGTAGGGGGTGGTGCTGAGGCAGGAGGAGCGTTGAGAGTTCGAGGCTAGCCTGGGATTCGAAGTCCAGCTCAGTCCCAACTACACAGCGAGACCCTGTCTCCAAAAAATAAATATGACGAGCTACTCCACAAATTGCTGTAACACTTGTTCAGGTTGAATGCATGTGCCGTGTGCATATACTGTGTACAGGTGGAGAGAAGTCTGGAAATGGAGACTTTCTGATCCAAGGTGGGGTGGTGGCTGGAATTCCTGAGCTGGACTCCAAAAGCTCCCCACAGGCCCTGAGCAGGAAGGAAGGACCCCCGTTGCTCCAAGACAAGTGAGATGCCAGCCTTTGCCTTGAGATGTGCATGTTAGGCTTGTAGGGAGCTCTGTTCGTTTGTCTGTTTGGTTGGTTTGTTTTTGGTGTTTTGAGATGGTCTCACTGTGTAGTTCAGGCTGGCTGAACTCAAGGTGATCCACCTGCCTCAGCCTCCCAAGTGCTGGGATCAGTACCGTGCCTGGTATTGAACAGACTAAATTGGGAGATGTTTAGATAATCACTTTAAGCAGGAACTTGGGTTCAGCTCAGTAGTCACTCATGAGAACCTACTCTGTGTACACATTTAGCCCAATTCTCAGATGGTGAGCCTTGTTCCCTGATACCAGGCAGGAGCAGGGCTCGTATTCTAACTTGTGGAGAAGCCAATATCATGTGCTCTGGTGAGAGGAATAGTTTGGTTTATGTAGCAGTGGAACATCCCAGTCAGACAAACTTTCCTTCCCCCTAAGCTGGGTGGCCACAGTACCTGGGGAGCTACACTCAGCTTTCTCCCTTCCAGCTGGTCGTCCTTGCCAGATTAGTGCCAGATTAAAGTGCCGGCTGATGCTCACCGTCAACGAGATTGCCTGAGAAGGGCCTAGGAGATTAGGAACGGGCTGTGGGTGTGTCCGGGGTCCTGGGCTGACCCTGAGGACTGGATCTGGTCCCTTCTCAGCCTCTCCTGCCCTGTGTCCCAAGGAGAAACTTCCGGGACTTATGAGTCAGGGTAAATCCTTTGTCCTTTAAGTTGTGCACGTGAGGCATTTTATCCCAGAAGCGGGAAGGACTGAGGGAGAAACTGTTGTAAAATTGACCAAGACCTCGAGAGCTTGTGGTCCCAGGTTCAGTGAAATAACTGGGCCTTTTCTTCCTAATATTTGAGAAATCTCCATACAGCTCGCTTAGTAGCCAAACTGGCTAAACCCAGCATATTTTAAAGATGAGAAAATCAAACAGCCCCTCTTAGGAGGCTGCCCATTTGAATGCAAGTCAAGTGCGGCCTCCAGCCTGAGCCCTCTGGACCTCTGCTCACTCTCAGTCGAAGTCTGAACTGATCTTGCCAGATTCTTGGAAAAACTGCCAATCACAAATACCTCTGAATTTTGGTTAGCAAAAATTAAAAATGCATAAAGCTGTACCTTGCTCAGAATGACAGAGCAAAACCAGAGGACACCGGCCCAGGGTTGCCTTCTGATGTTCAATCTCAGAACAGAATTCATGAGGGAAACCCAGTTTGGTTTATTTTATTTATTTATTGTCTTTTGGAACACGCTTGAATCACTGCTGCGAGTATGAACGGAAATCTCTCTCCAGTAACATGAGGGCCAAGGTTTGATTTATTTTTTAAGCTGCTCCCAGAGGAACAAGCACAGAACAAACAACAGTGCAGTAAAAGTCCAGAGCCAGTGTGGGACCTGGCGGTGGGGAAGCTGCAGGAAAGAACCTGGCAGGTGGAAGATGGCGTGGGCAGAGGGCCACAGGGAGCCGGGCTGCACAGCTAGGGCCCAGTTATTGCACTTACTAGTGCAGCAGAAGCTGGCGGGCTAGGCCCAGGAGCCTAATGAGCTGAGTCTCTCCTGGAGACAACACTGCCCCAACCCACCCCACCCCGCCCCGTGTCAATCAGCAGGGATGCCCAGGCTCAGGTGGTCGGTGCTAAGGGTTAGCACTGGTGCCTGTTCTGTTTTTAGCCTTTCACTGAGGATGAGAGAGGGTAATTAAGGCACAAAGTATGAGCCAGGTGCAGTAGCACATACTGTAATCCCACACTCCAGGAGGCTGAGGCAGGAGGATGGCAAGGTGGAGCCCAGCCAGGGCAGCCTAGCAAGACTTAGACTATGTCGAAAACATATATGTATAAATTATATTATAAATATATATTAACATAATTACATATGTATTATTTTATGTATTTTATATTTAATGTTATATATATTATATAATTATATAATATAATTTTTATATATAACTATATGTATATAATTTTGGGCGGGGTGTTTTGAGACAAGGTCTTGCTGTGAAGTTCAGGCTGGCCTTGAACTATGTAGCCCAGTCTCTCCTCAAATTCACAGTCATCCTCCTGCCTCAGCCTTCTGAATGCTAGGATTATAAGCGTGTGCCACCATACCCCACCCTGTCACAAAATTTTTAAAAAGGTGAGGGGGCTAGGGATGTAGCTCAGTGGATGTAGAGCCCCTGGGTTCAATCCCCAGTACCATAAAAACTAACACACCCAAAACACCAAAATTCAAACGTTTAGACAGATGTGGTGGTGCATACCTGTAATCCTAGCACTTGGGAGGCTGAGTCAGGAGAATTACCATAAATTTGAGGCCAGCCTGGGTTCCTCCTGAGTTCAAGGCCAGCCTAAACTACATAGGAGAGCCTGCCTCGAAATCAATAACAAACAAACAAAAACATTTTAAAAATGTAACTTAAAAGCATGTTTTTATGATGCTATTACTCACATTTGTCTGTGAAGATGATGCTGAACAGTGGAGCATCGTGAAAGGCTCCTGTACCTCCTGAGCTATAGGAAGAGGGAACCTCAGGAGCTGGCCCAAAGGGTTAATGTCAGTCACCAATCTGACCAGCATGAGAGACACTGAGGACACTTCTGAGTGTGTCTGGGAGGATCAGTGTCCAGTACTTGGCCTCTTTCTCCCTGGCTGTCCCCTGCTGTTTCCCAGGTGATGTGAAGTGAGCCGTTTTGCCCCACCATGCCCTCCACCACTACATTCCTGCCTTGGAGCAAGCTACCCATGGACTGAACCCTTGGAATCTATGAGCCAAATTGAACTGTCTTCTCCTGTAGGTTTTGCATGACAGCAGTGGAAAGCTGGTTAATACATGACCCTTAAAAGTTACTGCATAAAAATAAAAAGAATTAAGATGGATTATGTACATGGACCAACTCTCAATGATGAATGTAATTATGTACCACAAACATGCACTAATAAAAAAAACATAAAATGTTTTACATGTAGAAAAAGATTACTGTATGTCTTTGGACAGGTTATTAAACCTCTCCGGGCCTCACTTTTCACAGCTTTTCAGTGAGCAGGTGTAAGAAATGACTTCTTGGTGATTGGCGTGGTGCACGCCTGTAATCAGCACTTGGGAGGCTGAGGCAGGAGGATCACCATTCATTTGAGGTCAGCCAGTTTCTGCCCAGCATGGCAGTGCACGCCTGTTATTCCAGCATTCTTGAGGCTGAGGCAGGAGGATCTCAGTGAATTCAAAGCCAGCCTGGACTACATAGTGAGACCCTGTCTCAAAAAAAAAGGAACGAAAGAGAAATGATTTCTTAATCCAATTTAAGAGCTGCAGAAGGGGAAGAAACCACCTGATTGATTTTTGTTGTGTTTTTTTTTGGTACTGGGGATCGAACTTGGGTCCTTGCACTTGCCAGGCAGGCAACAGAACCACTGAGCTAAATCCCCGTCAAAAACCACCTGATTGGTGCTCTCATCTGGGACTTTTTTTTCAGGTTG